AATATAATAATACAATATAAATAAAAATCAATGAAAGAAAGCTAGGAAAACATATCAGAAAATCTTATTAGAATTTGTACAGGAGATAAAAAACAGAATGTGAATTTTTTTAATAAATATATTCATAATAAGCAGGTGGTCAAAGAAGTAGTGAAATCCTTAAAGGATTAGAAGGGTGGATTAGTATCAAATAACCAGGGGAGGGTAGATATACTAAACAAATTCTTTGTCTCTGTTGTCACAGAGAAAGCCCTGAGTTGAGTATCCAGTTCATTACGAGAATTGATGGAAACAGCAATGGTGCCCAATGTTTGGAAAAAAGGCAAATGTAATATCTATTTAAAAGAAGATTAAAGACTGGTGATCCAAGTTTGAGTGAATGTAAAATATTAGAGGGCATACTGATGAAGGGTATGAACCAATTAGCAAATTATAAAATGATAAACCTTAAAGTTTAGAGCGCTCAATGCATATTATACATTTGGAGGATGTTAAAGATCCCAAATTCCAAAAAGAAAAAGGAGTTTCCTCTGGTGAACTGGCCAACAATTCCCCAAATAAAACTGGTCATTCACTTCATGGCTGCTTGTGTCAAACTTGTGCAAACGTTGCACACAATTAATGGTAAAATTACAGGTTTTCCCATATCCTAAAGGGTAAACCAAATTTCAATTTAATGTCACTGTATTATGGTGGCTAATTGGATCAAATTCAGTTTGTTGCATCATATTCAAGAACATTTACATACTGTATTACATGTTCTAACAGTACTACTTACTCTTAGTCACCATTGCAGATTTGTTAAGATATTTCATTTCCCCTAAAATTCTATTGAACGTATGACCAATTTATGTGGAGGATTGTCGACCAGGACACTGGGAGAAATCTCTTCTCTTTTGAATAGTGTCATCTTTAATGTCCACCTTAAAATCCCCCTCTCTCTTAATGTTTCACTTCATGATGAATATATTTCCTTAATATATCTTCTTCCTGAGATCTCTTTTCCACAGGATTATTGCCAGAAAATCAGGTGAAACTGCTTTCTTTGAATAGTGTCATAGCTATTTTTTCGATATGTAATAATAATACTCCTTGAATTTGATGTGTACAGTTCACTCTCTTGGACTCAGATTAAAGTGAGTGTTTTGTGTTGGGATTATTTAGCTGACATATTTGTTGCACCCAGCGTGTTGGGACGTCCTCCCAATGTGAAAGGTGCTATACAAATGTAATTTTGTTGTTGTTGTACTGAAGTAACCAAATGTCCTATTTGTTTTAAATTAATGCCGATGGCAGAGCTTAATATATGTATATAATACATCATATATTCATCTAAAGTAATCCATTCTGTGGCAATTTTGAATACAGAAAAACAAATGATTTACAGAAAAATAGGAAAATATAACTGTTTATAGGAAGCATATTTCACAGGAAATAAGCCCTACAAACATCAGTTGATGATCCCAACTCAAAACCCACAACCTATCCATGTGTAAAATGGGATTACAGAAAAAGAAGGGCATGTCCATTTTGGTGCAACAAAGGCCACCTTTAACTACAGTAACAACAACAAAAGACTGTTGTGTAGTGCTCAAGCTGAAATTGCCAAAGGGATACTATGATGCTGAATGCTTATACACTCTTTTGTGTCCCAATCTTTAGATGATCCACAAATCTAACTGGTGGACTAGGAATATTGGAACAGGAGTAGGCCATTCAACCCCTCGAGCCTGTTCCGCCATTCTATTAGATCATGGCCGATCCATACCTCAACTCCATTTATCCGCCTTTGCTCCATAATCCCTTGACACCCTGACCTAACGAAACTCTATTGACCTCAGTCTTGAAAATTTCAATTGATCCAACAGAAACAGCCGTTTGGGGGAGAGAGTTCCAGATTTCCACTACCCTCTGAGTGAAAACGTGCTTCCTGATTTCACTCCTAATTGGTTTAGCTCTAACTTTAAGATTATGCCACCTTGTTCTAGATTCTCCCACCAGAGAAAATAATCTCTCTGTATCTACCCTATCGAATCGCTTTATCGTTTTAAATAGCTCAATTAGATCACCCCTCAACCTTCTAAACTCAAGGGAATACAAGCCAAGTGCACAGAGGACGACATTAAAAACACAGAAGACGACATTAAAAAAATGCAGCGAGACATAGATAGGTTAGGTGATTGGGCAGGTAGGTGGCAGATGAAGTATAATGTAGGGAAGTGCAAAGTGATCCACCTAAGTAGCAAAAACAGTAGAGTGGGTTATTTTTTAGAAGGGGAGAGATTGGAATGTGTTAGCGTCCAGAGGGACTTGGGTGTCCTTGTACACCAATCACAGAAAGTTAGTCTACAGGCGCAGCAAGCAATTAGGAAGGCGAACGGTATGTTAGCATTCATTATGAAAGGATTAGAGTATAAGGGTAGGGAAGTCTTGCTGCAAATATATAGGGCCCTGGTGAGACCACACCTGGAATACTGTGTGCAGTTGTGGTCTCCTTATTTAAGGAAGGATGCACCTGCCTTGGAGGGGGTGCAGTGTAGATTTATTAGGTTAATACCAGGGATGAAGTTGGGTGAGTTATGAGGATAGGCTGACCAATTTGGGGCTATATTCTCTAGAATATAGAAGAATTAGAGAGGATCTTATAGAAACCTATAAGATTATCAAATTGCACGATAGAGTAGATAGTGGGAGATTGTTTCCCCCGGTTGGAGAAACTAAAGCCAGGGGTCACAACCTTAAAATCAGAGGCCAGCCCTTTCGCACTGAGTTGAGGAAGAACTTCTTCACTCAAAGGGTGGTGAATGTATGGAACTCACTACCCCAAAGGGCTGTTGACTCTCAGTCCTTGAACATATTCAAGACTAAGATAGATAGATTTCTTATTGCAAAAGGGATTAAGGGATATGGGGATAAGGCAGGGTTAGGTTATTAGCTGGAATTAGATTAGAAGATTAGCCATGATTGAATGGCAGGGCAGGCTTGAAGGGCCGAATGGCCTACTCCTGGTCCTACATGTTATGCTATGTTACGTTATGCTTACCGGCAGGGAATCAGTGAAGTCTGGTGAGAACTCGGGTGACGGGCACGTGGACATTATTACAGGTGAGGATGTGGGATGATGAAAATTTAGGTAAGTTAAACTTTATGGTTGGTTAAACTTTTCATGTAGGTTTAAAGTCTCAAAACACTTTAAAGAGGGGATGCCCGAAACTGATTAGGGCAAGTGGGAGGGTGAGGAGAAAGTTGACAGTATGCAAAAAGGTAGGCTTTCAAAGGGGGTTGGGCAGGTTGAGGGATTTAGGTAGGAGAATAATGTCCAACAGTGGGGCACTGGGGACGAGGAACACAAAGCACACCCAGATTTGACAGGAGAGTGAGGCTGCAGAAGGTCACAGAGGAGGAGGTTGGCTTGGAGGACATTGAAGAAGTCCAGTCTGGAGGCAACAAAGGAGTTTTGCCGCATCACCTGCACGGAAGCAGGCAATGTGATGAAGATGAAGAAAAGCAGTCTTAGCCAGGGGCTGAATGTAAAGAAGGATAGAGAGCTGAGGATTAAACATAATTCCAAGGTTGCACATAGGCTCAGTGAGGTGGTTAATATAATTATAATAATCCGTCAATTTAATATATGCCTTCTCAAGTCTTCGAAACATCTCAAAGCGCTTCACAGAATATACTGTAAAGTGTAGTGACTATGCATTTGAGGGTGAAACGCATATACAAATACAGAATATGCAAATCTAAGTGACAGATCCATGTTCTAATTCTTTGTTAGGCTTTATAACTACAGTAGTATTTTGTGCCCTACAGAGCAGCTCTTTATTCAAAATTACATATTTTGAAAAAGTATTATGCTTCTGTGAAGTCCAAACTATGTTTAACTCTATGAATTATTTTCTTTGAATAAGAAAACAATGCTGCATCAGTAACAATAACTACCTCCATATATGTTCTCCAAGATCTCCATACAAAGTCAGAAGCCAAGAATTACCCTACTTAATGTGTCCGAATTGTTAAATGTGTTAGGAATCTAGATTTCAGTACAGTATTGTCTTATCCCTTCTTTCCAAATTATAATACTTGCTACACATATTTTAAATATTGATCTACTTTAAAAATGAATTAAAGTCAATTAAATAAGCTTTCTGAAGGTTCAAGTAGTCTAATAGGAGGTTCCTAATTATAGTTTTAAAAGATTAAATAAATAGAGACCACTTCCACTGATTATTCAGTTACAAAGTGTATAAATTGAGAAGTAAGAGAGGGATATTAGAAGAAAGCATTTTATACACAAGGTTGTTAGAATGTGGAATGCCATAAATCAGAAAACTGTTACAGTATACACACAACCATTCAAAAAGGAATTGGATAAATACTTGAGTAAAAATAAAATTAAAGCTACTATAAAGGAGCAGGAAAATTGGATTAAAAAGACAGGCCAATGGATCTTCCACTTGGTGTAAACTTTTTACGAATCTATCTATGGGCAATCAAAACTTAAAACTTAAACAATATATAGTAGATTTATATCATAAAAAAACTCCAAGTGAAAAAGGCTTAGTGACAAGTTATCCTGAATGGCAAGTAAGGCAAATGTGTAGATATATAAATAAATACAGCTGGGATATTGACAGCATGATGACTTAAGTAGTAGTGACAAGTTAAGCCAGGAATGAGTTATCAGGAGTTTACTGTATTAGAAAAGTATTACATTAAACATTATTACATAAATATTGCAGTGATGGTAAAAACTGAAAACGGAGCAATCATTTAAATTTGTAGGGCACGAATAATATTAGTCAAAAACAATAATCCTACTAATCCTTTGATATAGCGCCTTATTACGTCGTCAAGACGTCTCAAAGCACTTCAGAGGATACACTGTAAAGTGGTATTATGTGGGCAAATGCCCACATTTGTGCCAGATACCACTTTGTTCTTCATGTCAGGAGTTCTGTATTTAGAAGTTCTGCTCATAGTGCATATTCCTCCCTTACCTGCATTCTGTAGAGTTTCAATATTTTGTGGCCTTGTGGCGAGTTCTGCAATTGTTTGTACAAACTGGGATCTCGCTCTCTGGTACTGTTCAAAAACTGAAAACAGAGCAATATAAATTAACTTATTTAAAATAATTAGGATTATTATGATTTTCAAAATGCAAATTGCCGCAAAATTTGCACTGAATCCCTCGAAACAACACTTGTAAGTCTGTCCCTTATAAATTAGTCATGATTCATGCAATGTGGATGTCAGCTCCCATCACTAAGGCATTTTTTTTAAATATTGAAGAGCCAGTCACTGTCCTATAATAACATTTGAAAAGTTAATATTACTTTGTAAAGTTTCATATTTTACATTTGGTAGTAACTACCGCCCCATCTCCAACCTCCCTTTCCTCTCCAAGGTCCTGGAACGAGCTATTGCTTCCCAGCTTTGCAGCTTCCTTTCCCTCCACTCCCTTCACGAACACTCTTCAATCAGGTTTCCGTGCCGTCCACAGCACAGAAACAGCCCTGGTCTAAGTGACAAATGGTATACTGTCCATCTATGACCAGGGCTCCCTCTCTGCCTCCTCATCCTCTTTGACCTCTCTGCTGCCTTCCACACCATTGACCACTCTATCCTCATCCACCAACTCTCCTCTCACCTTCACAGCTCTGTCCTTGATTAGTTCAGATTGTATCTCTCACACACTTCATCTCTGCAAAGTTTTTCCTCTAGCCCCCGCACCGTCTTGGGCGGCGTTCCTCTGGGCTCTGTCCTTGGTCCCCTCCTCTTCTATATCTATATGCTCCCTTTTGGTGACATCACCGCAGACATGGGGTCAACTTCCACATGTATGTGGATGACACCCAACCGTACCTCTCTGCTTCCACCCTTGACTCCAGGACCACTGCTGTCCTGACAGAATGTCTATCAGACATCAAGTCCTGGATGAGAGCTAACTTTCTCCAGTTGAATGTCAACAAGACCGAGGCTCTCCTGATTGGCTCCCGTCAGCACCCCTCACTCAGGCGCTGACAGCATCACCATCCATGGATGCACACTCCGCCTTGCTAAGCCAATCCGGAAACTTGGCGTCTTGTTTGACCCTCAACTATTCTTCCTACCCCACATCTGTGCTATGACCCGCCCTACCCCCACCTCTGCAACATCGCCCGGCTCCACCACTGTCTCACACCGCAGGCCAACGAAATCTTCATATGCGCTTTCATTACATCGAGTCTTGCCTATGCAAACTCCCTGCTTGTCGGCCTCCCCAACTCCTCCCTCCATAGGCTGCAGATCATCCAGAACTTTGCAGCCCATGTCCTCTCCCGCACCGGGCTCCGTGACCCTATCACCCACATCCTCACCCGACTCCACTGGCGTCCCATCACACAAAAGATAGTTCAATATACTGATCCTCACCTTCAATGCCCTCCATGGTCTTGCTACCCCCCACTTCTGCGACCTCCTAACCCCCTACCATCCTCCGCTCAGCAGGCTCCGGCCTGCTTCACGTCCCCCGCCTCGCTCGCCCCACTATGGGTGGGCAGGTCTTCTGCCACTCTGCCCCCACCCTCTGGAACTCCCTCCCTTGCCTCCTGCAAGACTCATCTCAAGGCCCTCCTCTTCGACTATGATTTCGATCCCTCTGCTTCTCCCCCTGCCCTCCACCCTCCCCGATCCCGACCCCCAGCTCGGGTCCGAAACTCTGTCTGCCCAGCAGCGCCTTGGGACATCCTCCCGACATGAAAGGCGTTTTACAAATGTAATTTTGCTGCTGCTGTTGTTGTTGTTGTTGTTGTAGTAAGTACGTAATCGTGTCCTTAGCCGTTAAGTGAGGTTTTTTCGGTGGGTGAGTCTGACGTATGTGGAAACCTATCGCCGTACTGAAGGGTATCCAACTGCAGGGTTGCCCGACAGCAAAGGGTAGCTGGTTGCCCACCAAAGCAAGTAGCCAACAGTAAGAGGTCAGCGTGGACTTCGCGCCCAACAACAAGTTGCATTTACACAGCGCCCTTCCCGCTGAACGGCGTCTCGGAGCGTAGAAAGAGTAGAAAGCAAAGACTGCCGCCTCGGGTAAGCTACGCTTCAGATTGGAACTCGATGCGGATCGTCCAAACCAGTTCTGGCATGTGTGTGTGTTTGGGTTTTTTTTACACACACACACACACACACACACACAGACACACGCACATAAAAAGACACCACACAAAGACACACCACACCCGGGGGTGTACCCGTCTGTGGCCCCGAGACCGAAATGAACAACCAGAGAACTCCCGGAAAATGCGAAACGGGAGATTGACAAAAAGCGGTGCAAACGAAAAGGGAGAAATTTGCCGATTAAGGCGCAGCCTTCGGTTCGGGTTCCTCGCGGGTGGCTCTGCTCTGGCTCCGCGGTAAGCACCTTGTAAGGCGAGTCTCTGGCTCATGGTGCTGCCGTGATCTCAGCCTCGCCTCTCGCTGCCCACCACCGGCCCCGGCTCTGAGTCCAGCGGCGCCGCCGTCGCCATGGGCAACGACCCGGAAGCAGCTCCGGGCTCCCCTCCCGCCCCCGCCCCGCCCCCCCCCCAGGGGTCACCGTGTGTTTGTGACGTACGGAGCGGCGCCTGTCAATCTCCCACCACCTCTCTCTCTCTCTCTCTCGCGCTCTCTCTCTCTCTCTCTCTCGCTCCTGTGTTGCGGGAGGTTTACGTTGCGGAAAGTTTGCGCCGTACGCTCCTGGGGTTACGGGAGATTTGCCGACTCACGAGGGCGCGGGAAGTGTGCGCAGCACGGTTCTGGCTGCAGGAAGTTTTGCGTTGCACGGACCTGGGGTGCGGGAGGTTTGCGTTGGATGGACTTGCGGTGCGGGAGGTTTGCGTTGGATGGACTTGGGGTGCGGGAGGTTTGCGTTGGGTGCCCCTGGGGTGCAGGAGGTTTGCGCAGCACGGTGCTGGGATGCTGGAGGCTTGCGCTGCACTGTAATAATAATAATAATCCTTGCATTTGATGAAGCACCTCATCGCGTCTTCGAGGCGTCTCAAAGCGCTTCGCAGAATATACCGTAAAGTGAAGCGACTGCACTTTGCGGGCGGACAATTTGCGCAGCTCGTCTCGAAGTGCGGGAAATTTGCACTGCACAACTCTGGGGCGCAGGGTGTTTGCGCTGCAGTGTTTGGGTGTGGGAGGTTTCTTGCACAGTAGTTCTGGGTGCGGGAGCACAACAAAAGCAACTTGCACTTATATCATACCCTCCACCAGGGTAGCGTCTCGAGAGCTTAACAGCGGCGGAGCCTGACTCCGAGGAGGGTGGGTGTGGGGGGTGACTGGAAGCATGGTCAAAAAGGAAGGTTTTCCGGTGGGACTTGAAAAAGGGAAGAGAGGGAGCAAAGCGTGACCTCCAGTGGTAGAACAGAGGGCGTGAGGGACAAGCAGGAGGCTGGTGCCAGTTGAGCTGGATTGGAAGTGAGGAGGTGGTTGAGGTAGGGAGGTGACAGGGAGTGAATGGATTTGAAAAACAGGTTTGTTGCACAGTAGTTCAGGAGTTTGGGAGGTTTGCAGTGCACTATGGCAGCAGCAACCTAGTTCTTCCCCACATCCAAGCCAGGACCCGCTCTGCCTTCCCTCACCTCCACAACATCGCTCGACACCACCAGGCCACTGAAACTCTTGTTCATGCCTTCATCACCTCCAGGCTCAACTATGCAAACACTCTGCTTGTCGGCCTTCCCAACTCCTCCCTCCACAGGCTGCAGATCATCCAGAACTCTGCAGCCCGTGTCCTCTCCCACACCAACCCCGTAACCACATCAACCCCACTCTCGCCCGACTCCATTGGGGCTCCTTATCCTTCAGAGGATCCAGTTCAAGATCCTGGTTCTCACCTACAAAGCCTTCCATGGCCTCACCCCACCCTACCTCTGCAACCTCCTAACCCCCTACCAACCCGCCCACTCCCTCCGCTCAGTCGGCTCCGGCCTGCTCCATGTCCCCTGACTCATCCGCCCCACCACTGGCGGAAGAGCCTTCAGCCACTCTGCCCCCAACCTCTGGAATTCCATCCCCCAATCACTCCGCTCCCCCCACCCCCCTCAGCTTCCTTCAAGTCCTGGCTCAAAACCCTCCTCTTCAACCATGTCATCGACCACCCCCCTTCCCCTCCCTTCTCCCCCCCCTGACCCCAGCTCGGGTCTGAAATGCTGTACACTGTCCAGCGCCTTGGGACGTCCTCCCGACTTGAAAGGCGCTATACAAATGTAATCTTGTGTGGTGCATGGTTCTGGGATTCAGTACAACTGGACAGAGAGTTGTTGGGAATTGGCAGAGGCAAGAGTCCGTGGTGGGATTCAATGTGGAAGTAGACAGGTTAATCACGTTTGCCTCCCGATGAGGGCTTGGGGAAAGAGCAGAGCAGCTTGCTGTGTGAGTCAGTGCAGACTGGATAGGCCGAATGGCCTCCACTGAGCAGCTGCACGTTTCAATAAATCGTCGTATTTCTGAGGCGTTCGCAGGGCACAGAACGTCTGATGTGCGCGATGTTTGCGGTGCGGGTTCGGGAGAGCGGTGGTTGGTTGGTGGGGATGGATGGATGGATGGATGGATAGTTCCGGGGTTGCGGGACAGATGTTTCATGTTTGGAGGGATTGTGTGTGTGTTTGTGTGTGTGTGTGTGTGTGTGCAAACCCAGTGCCAATATGATTGCCGAGATGACCGCCTGCAGCAGGTTCGCTGCCCACCGCTAACTGGGGCTGGCGATTTACTGCTGATCAGGGGTCACTTTACGTGCGTTGGGGTCTGTGCGCTGCAGCAACATCGCTGGCAAACTATCTCCTAAATGTGAGGGTTTGCACGCAGCAGCCGTGAGCTGTTTTTTTTTCTCTCTCTCTCTCTCTCTCTCTCATCGACCCACAAAGGAGCGGGTTTACAGCAAAGCTGGTTTGGGGGGCTCTCCTCTCCTCTGCAATGCAAAAGAGCACGGGGGCACTCGGCATCAACGGGCGACAAGTTATCTTCCACAAAAAGGACATCATTAAAAATTGCTTCGCTTTTAATAGTTACTCTGTCATCCCAAGAGCGTCTTGGGGGATTTTTGTTTCGTCTCTCCGATTGGAAACCAGGTTTCCCCATCCCCAGCGCCACAACACAGCACAAACACAACACAGCGGTGTTTTTTTTTTACACACACACACACACACGATGCAAAGCGGGTTAGTTGTTTGAAAGGTAAATCGTAATCGCGTGATTTTTTTTTTCACGTGCCAAATTAAAAACACCACACTTACTGTTAAAACATGGGGTGGTACAGGAGTTCAGTACTGTAAATAGTAGACAGATCCACCTTGTCTTGAGTGCTGAAGGCGGAAATGCATTATTGCTTTAAGGAGGCGGCGAACTGTGCGTAGCTGCGTTTGCAAAAAAAACATTCACAATAAAAATGTGAAACTCTGTTCTCTCTGCTACAACTGCCTGGTAATGTGAGCATCCGTAAATTCAACCTCGACTGGGTGTCACGCCGAGAAACTGTGTGTTTGTTCTAATGCCGTGTACGTAAATAAACTTAATTTCCATTGTTTTTTTTCTTTGCATACATTTGCTTCCAAAGAAATGACTCGATGCAAACCAATACTTAACCGTTGGCAATCGAGGCTACAGTGTAGATAGGCTCAAAGAGGCTGCAGATCAAATAGGAGTGTGTTGTGTGTGCTAATGCATATTTAAGATAACGTTGACCATTTATGCTGTCCTAGGAATTGGACATCGATCTGTGTTGCAACAAGTATTGTAGTATTTCCCCATACAAATTTCAAATTAATAAAATGAGAGCCATTATCTGCTTCTTTGAAAGAATTAACCAGCGGTTGCGTTAAATTCACAGAGGTAAATTGTTCGAAATACTGTTGATTAAACTCACGACTCGGTATAACATCTGGTCACATTTTACCAATCAATATACATTCTTAAGAATAAATCAAAGCTGTTAGTTTACATTTCGCAATCCCTTTCTTCGTTATATGCATACAACATTTAACTGTTTTAAAGAAAACAATAAGGCTATATACAATCTGCGTCTAACTCATATCTCACCGTCTTGGTTCCCTTATATCTAGACATGCGGTGTGCAACTTTCTGTCATTTCTGTCTGTCTTCGGCATGCAATTGGTTTAACCCTTACCCTACTGATTCGGTTGCATTCAATCACCCCATTACCGAGATCTCTGTTAGCAGATAGGAACATCTTAAAAGCCATTGTTGATGGAAGATTTCCTGAGTTTCACATGGTTCTTTGTTAACGTTTAGCTAATCCGCATATAGATTTAGCTGTGTGCATACTTGCCTACAGCATAACAAGGATCTCTTCAGAATGACTTGACCTCATGCTGGATTAAACTGTCTAAATTAAACCGGGGCTTTCATGTTAAAGGTAGTTTTAAGCTATATGGTATTTAATTAACTATCGAGGAGTTCGGGATTCTGCGGTCTCGAGTCTGGGTGAGGTTAAATGCGGTTTACAGCCTCATAGTGAAGTGTTATAACTGCTCTCTTGTCTGTGGAAGTGATAAACAGGCTGGCGACGCAGGCGCAAACCACGCTCGCATGATCAGTGCAGTTGCCAAATTCAGTCGAGTTCAGTTTCACTTCTCTTTTCTTTCGTACCTGATTTAAATACTGCTCTTGAACTCTTGGTGTATTCTTCTATCACGTACGTGACACAGAATTCTGCACACCAACAACCCAGTTCTTCATGGGTTTTTTTTCTGTGCCCTGCACCCCCCCCCCCCCCCCCCCCACCCCCACACACACACACACACACTCCCCCCCCACCCACCCACCCCCTTACCTTCAAAATGTGAACCCTGGAACAATGCAGGAATCTGCGAATATCCATGTTTCCCAAGTCCTGTGTTGTGCAAAGCGAGATTGTAACCCAGCTCATTAATTCTAACAGCACTGGCTCTGACTTTAATCCGTTACCGGGGTAATTACGCCAGGATCTGCTTCTCAAGACCGCCTCTTGTCATGTGAACGTCACTGCCCTGGAGTTTGCTGAAATGCATCTCATTGACCCGACTCCAAGCTGTCAATCAGCAGCTTTTGTCGACGTGAAAGGGACTATTTAAGGAGGTCCGATTTTTTTTTTAATCCTTCCCCCCCCCCCCCCCCAAGATTGGTGTGCCGCATTGCAACCAAATAACCTTTCATTTGGTTATGCAATCCGTGCCGTCCTATTTACTTGGGAGAAAGATTTTGGAAAATTCCGTCCTTTACCTTAATGCAATATTAATAAAAGAATGTGTTGCTGAGTATAGGACGAAATTGCTCGGGCAATTATAGATTTGCCTTCTGTTTCGGCCACCGAAAACTGTTGGCGTTGCATCAACTGAGCATCGGTGATGTTGGTAATATTCATCCCGAATCTGCCTTCGGACTTTCTCGAGGGTATTTAAGATGCCCGTTTGTCATCACGTTGTCAGTTCCCATTACCCGTGTTGACAATTTGTGCTTCAAGCGACGTGTTTGGGGTTTGCTGAGTGTTAAATGTCAAGTTGAGCCGCTTCAGTAATCGGAACTTTGCCATTTAACATGATCGTGCAGTCTTGATAAGAGTCGGCCGATAAAATGAATAACGTTAAAGAGGTTCATATTTCACGACTGGCAATCAGCGAGGCAATAAGTCGTGCAAAAGCTGTGTAAGCCAAGCCGGTGGTCTGTTTAATAATTACCCCCCTTTTATAGGTCTGAATAGAAAAGAAATCAGCGTCAACTGGCACATAAATTCATTAGTATATACAGAAGGCTGGGTCAGCGCGACATCCCACGGAGGAATTAAAGCAACTCATTGATCTTCGCATGGACTTTCTAGAAGCAAAGGATTGAGTTGTATTTTCCTGGAATCCAATTCCATGTCAACGTTGCAATTTATCTGCAACACCGCGCACTTGCTTTCATCGTGGTCTGATGATGGTTTCTCCTGAAAACTGGTGTACAGGCATTGTCCTTATCTACTGTATGTATTATATATGTGTGTTCGTGCGCCGATTGAACTGCTTTCCGACGATGAAAATCATTGCTTGAGGCTTGATGGTTCAAAGAGCAGCATTTTATATTTAAGCTATTTGTAACTTTAATAATGTAGGCGCAAGCTATCACATCGTGCACCGGCACATATGGACAGATGACAGGTGACTCAATAGCCAAGCAAGATGTGAAAGGACAACACCCCCACGGATACAGATCTCTGTTTTGTATTTACTGGAAAAAAATATAACGTTACTTATGTAGTAGCAAGCAGCAGGATGTCTTTATTTTCCATCAGTCACTACGAAAGTTCGCTTGATACACAAAGCGGTGTACCAGCGGCGAGGATGGTTGAGTTAAACTTTCATCGCCCCACGCGGAAAAGTTAGCATATTATTTAAAAAAAACTAATTCCCGCAACGAATCTTGTTTCGCGACAGTGCATGAAAATCATGTGTGTTTGTTCAAGCGTTCATATATATTTTGCACGCGGTGTGCATTTAATTGGAATAAAACTGAGTGTGTAAAAAAAAAGGGGGGGCCACTGTGTAACAGCCTTCACAAACTGCCCCACATGGTGAGATGGCTTTGCAGAGACCCCATTACCGAGGAACATCCAGCTGCTGTGTGTGTGTATGTATGTATGTATGTATGTTGCTAACTAAATGAGCACAGCTGAAAACATGCGCATGTGCAGACATTCCCTGCGCCTACTGTACTGTTGGTGCAAAAGCTATCAAATATAAAAGGTCATTACAGCCACATGATGCAACGTGTTTACACCCCCCACCCCCCACCCCCCACCCCTCACCCCCTCGCGTGGGTTCACACACCCATATCGTTATCATTTAAGTCCGCATTTTCGATCTGTGTCTCTTTATTTCAAACCTAAGTTTATTACACAAGCAGAAATAGTGTAGCCCCCGTCCCCCCCCGTCCCCCCCCCCCCCCCCCCCCACCCCACCAAAAAAAAATGATCCCACAGTTCTGGGACCGATAATATGGGGAAATTGTTCGTGGTATCATTTTCCTTTGACTTTTTTTTTCCTGTAAAGTTTCAATGTTCGTACGATTACGCCATAAAACTAAGCGACAACAGAGTGGTAGCATTTTTTGGGGGCTGATGTGTTTCACAAACATTTAAACATTTGAAAATGCCCAAAATACGGGCCGAATGCATGAGGAACATCTGGATTTCAGAATCCTGCAGCAGCTAACGAGCTACCTGTCCTGTTAGTGTTACCATCAGGTTTAGGGCTAACAAGTTCTGTAATCTTTATGGGGGAGTGGGGGGGGGAGGGCTTCACCAGCACATAAAGATTGCGGTCATTTTTTCACAGAAGCTTCGCCTCTACTCACAATATTCAGTGTCGCTTTCAATGACATTAAGTTGCGCTGTTACAAACTGTTCATATCTACAGGACAGTCAGTCGATTCAAATACCCATTCTTTTCATTTTGACTTCAGACTACAGTCGGATGAATGATTTGCTAATCTTTCTGAATGTTGGGATGAGAATATCTTGCCCCCACCCGCCCACCCCCCCCCCCAAAAAGACATTTGTGAAAAAAGTATAAGAACTGTGTGTTTTTTAAATCGCTTGGGGAGCTGCGTGAGATTATAAGGGGAGAAGCATGGCGGCTGTTTTATAACTACAAGGGAGGCGACGAGAAAATAAACACTGTGCTATTGACACGTCTTTGCACGTTATTTGAAGCTGTCTGTCGCGTCTGAGCACCTTTCAAGATGACTGGTCGTTCGTTCTGTCGCTCCTTCTCGGCGTGGCGTGTTTCTTTGCAGAACAAGTTCAGTCGTTCTGGCTTTTCAGAAAGATTTTCGTACAGTATCGTGTGCGAATGCATATCGCATCTCGTCATCACGACTGAACACACGTGTCTGGAAAGAAAGGAGAGCCTGATAATTGCAGGCGTGCGATAACACTGTTTGTCACCAGGACAGACACACACTACATTTCAAGTGACTGTTCACAAGGTCCCTCTGCTTTCCAGCTTCCATATGTTTTGCAATCTTATGCCAGCGCTCGAATGAATGCCTTCCTCAAACCCGCAGCCCCCTCAGTGCAACACCCCCGGAGGTAGTATTTGCAGGTCAATCCACTTTTGCTGACAAGCGGTTGAGAAATCAAAATGCTGGCGAGATCGACTGCAAATCTGACGTTAAGTAACACTCTCATGTGAAAGAAAAATGACGCTCTAAAAAGCAACGTGTCTCGGTGTGCGTCCTTACGTATTTGTGGAGCGCCGCGGTTATTTGCTTGTGCACTAGTTTTCATTTTCCCCATCTCACCTTCAATATATTGTTTCCCTGCGTGATTCTGACCACCACACGACAGGTTCAAAGTGCAAGTGAGAGGAAATAGAATTGCACATATCATCTGCACAATCTGAGTCACCGAGTCTTGATCGTGAAGAATTGATCTTATGAACACACACACAGATTTTTTTTTAACTGAATCCGAATTAATG